TTGCTTAGATGCTATTTATTATAAGTAAATTCCATAGGGTGCAACTTGGTGTCCCAACTGCTTGAAAAACTGAACACGCATGCACGTAACATTTCGTTAACATTTGATTCAGACATTCAATTTGTTTGTTTGTTTATCTGTTTGTGGGTGAATAATAGGGGTTAAATCCAATCTTGTGAGCAAAACTATGGATAAAGGTTTAGAGTGTAGGGAGCCTTTCCTAGTACCAATTGTGTAGAGTCGATGATCACCAATATCATATAGCGCATAATTTAATATAGACTATGGATGAATGCACAATTCTAATCCTTTACCTAGAGCCTAGAATGTTGTATTGGTGCGTGGAATAAGGATAAAAGAAAATACTTATTAATTCAATAATGACAAGTTTCATTGAATCAAATAGGCAATCTAATTTGGAGCAGACTGCACTACCGAATCTTCTCTTGGTTCAATCGAGTCTTATTGGTTCTTTCTCCCCCCTCAAACACAGTCAAATTAGCGTTTTATATAGTATAGCTTATAGCTGCTGTTACAAGAATATGTAATAGTAAGAAAATCAGGCTATTGGCTGCATGCATCTTCCGTCGTCCTATTCTTCTTGAACTAGGGTTTCACTTTAAAGCGTCTTCTTCCTTCACCTTCTTTCACAGTAAGAAGAAACAAAAACGAATCCCATGATTATATAATTTACCAAAGTCTATGAATAGAAAGAATCCTTCACCTATAGCGTTTTTTATATAGAAGTGGGCTTTTTTTGGAACTGCCATTAAAAAATTAGAATTGATTATTCATTACTATAATTGGATGTGAAAGACATCTAGTGTTCAAAAGGAATTGTTCTTTACTATTTATTATCCATTTTTTCTATAAATTATAGTATACTCCTAATATAGGAATTTAATACAAATAAGTCTTATTTTCCTGGATCCACTTAGATCAAAGTTTCATCCATAAATTATGAACCCAACGTGAATCAAACACGCAACCTTTTGATTTGGAGTCAGACACGCTACCATTTCCCCACGGATCCCATGATTATATAATTTACCAAAGTCTATGAATAGAAAGAACCTGAACCCTTCACCTAGAGTCTAGAGGGTACTCATGGAGGGTGGAATAAGAATAAAATAGTTGTTAATTCAATGATGACAAGTTACTTCCATAAATACGTTGATGAATGCTGATCAAGACTCAGACGCGCTACCATTGCGCCATGGATCCAATGATTATATAATTTACCAAAGTCTATGAATAGAAAAAACCATTCACCTAGGTCGTGGATTAAGAATATAACAAAATTCAATGATAAAAAGTTTAATCCATAAATACATAGATGAATGTACAAATAAATTATATTACCATGAATCAAACACGCAACCTTCTAATCTAGAGTCAAATGCTCTACTATTGCACTATAAATTCCATGATTATATAATTTATCGAAGTCTATGAATAGAATGAATCCTTCACTTAGAGCCTAGAGCGTTCTCACGCTACCCTTTCGCCATATATAATTTTATCCTTCACCTAGAGTGTTATCATGGTGCGTGGAATAAGAATAAAAGAATGCACAAACAAACTATAGAACATGAACTCGACGTAGATTGAACAAACAATGATTATAAAATTTACCAATGTCTATGAATAGAGCCCAATGGGGCTCAAACGAGGTTCGAACCAGCAACCTTCGGCTCATAAGACTAACACTCTAACTAACTGAGCTACGAGACCATGTTTTATATTAACATATCATTATCTGCCCCGCGACCTTCGGCTCATAAGACCAACGCTCTAACCAAAGACTATGTTTTATATTAACATATCATTATCCAAAATCAAACATTTTTTTAATTCAATTATTTCCTAGGCCTATTAAATTTTCAAATTTATTCTTAAAAATAATCATTTATATTTTTATTATTATATTCGCGTTGTAATTAATTATTTAGTTTTTTTGAGATTTATGTCATAAAGCCTCGTAATTAATTATTTAGTTCTTAACAATAATTTTTATTATTTATTTATAATTTAATTATTATCCATGGTATGAAAATTCAAGATTATTAATGTAATCTTGAACAGTATGTGGTTGACATACAAGAGGATCGAGTTCAAGTAATAACCTAAAGAGTCTATAGTATATGGATAAGGTTGAGTGTCTTATCCTAGTAACACTATTGATATGACCCACTTTGTAATCGTTACAAATGATCTGATCCAAATCGTTCTTGTGGAAACATGTAAGTGGGGTATCCTATATAATGAGTTTGTATAAGACTGGATCAAGAAATATTTTATCACCCTTTAAAATCTGTTAATCGAGAAAATTAATATTTCACATGAAGATCATATGCGACTCAATCTTAATCCTGAGTGAGTTATGAACTTCTGTCTGTGACGACTTGTCCTTTAATTTACGTGGGTGAGACTGGCTCTATTAGCGGATTCAATATGCCTACCATTTTGGGGACTTGATCAAATAGGGAGTTAGAACATAATATCATGAAATGGAATTCACTCGTTTACATATAAGAAAAGTAGATGAGTTGTTCTCTTAAGTACTGATTTGGGGACTTGAACAATGGGGCCAGACCCACTCATTAGCCCAAGAGGAGAGGGACTTAGTTTATGATTGGATCTTAAACAAATTGTTCTTTCGAGAATCAGTAGTACTTAAGGTGAAAGATGTAATTACAAAGGTAAAAAAGGACTTTTGACCCAACTGTAATTATGAACAACTCGTGAATGATCGACTTGCTTGTAATGATTATATCAATGGACATAATTTGTCCTATAATGTATAAGAGTGCAACTGTGAGTATAATGGAGCTTATAATATGTAGGTCCATTAAGGCCCCCTAGCTCATAGTAATTTATTTTCAATTGCAAGCAACCCCATCCGAACGTATTCATTTCATATTTTTAAGAAATTCTCAAGTTCTCATCTATAATGGTTTGCTAAATACACCCGTAAAATTTAGACAAAAAAAAAAAAAAGAATTGAACCGTTAACCGTCTTTGATTGTTCCAGAATGATGTTAATTTTAACCTGAAATATTCATAAAATAAAATCTACTCGGATGAGGATGTCGCCGCCCTCCCCTTCAAATACTAGTTGTATCTAATCCGATGAAATTGAGACCAAATCAATGGCTAGATGAAAAAGGGAGTATTTGTGGTTGACTCATTAATTTCAATGAAATTAAACTTTACTGAAATTCACAATAAATAAATAAATAAATAAATATATTATATTATATATATATATATATATAACTAGCATTCGTATTGAAACTCGAATTCATAGGAAGAAAATTTATGCATGGAATCAAATATGCAGTATTTATAGACAAAAATACTAAATTATTAGGGAAAAATCAATATACTTCTAATGTCGAATCGGGATCAACTAGGACAGAAATAAAGCATTGTGTCGAACTCCTCTTTGGTGTCAAGGTAATAGCTATGAATAGTCATCGACTCTCGGGAAAGGGTAGAAGAATGGGACCTATTATGGGACATACAATGCATTACCGACATATGATCATTACGCTTCAACCGAGTTATTCTATTCCACCTCTTAGAAAGAAAAGAACTTAAATCAAAATACTACATTTACCCCGAGTAATATCTATATATATATATTTTAATGATTCATTAAACACAACTAAACATATTTTCTATTATTGAATGAAGCTAAAATTAATTAAACAAGCTTAAGGAGTAAAATTAGATTATTATTTTTTTTTTTTCCTCCATTTTATTTAAATTTATTATCATTAATTTTTAAAAAAATACAGCTGTAATTAGATTCGCCAAATTTCGGGCCATTGGGCAGACGGCGGCGGAGTGACCGAGGGGACAAAAACATACGGAAAATAATTTTTTATAAAAAAAATAATAATAGTAAATAATCACGGGCAGGGCGAAAATGGTAATTTCCGAGGAAGGAAAATTTCATAAGAAATGAATTGAACCCGACGTGAATCGAACACGCAACCTTCTGATCTGGAGTCAGACGCGCTACCATTGCGCCACGGATCCTTTGATGGCAAATGTTGGGAGTTTTTATTTTATTTATATAATATTTATTTTCGAGGAAAAAAAGAATATGAAGGATAGACGAAGCATTTAATTGGTAAATTCTTCACAGGTGAGAAAAGGATTATTTGGGTTTGCAGGTGTTCAACTATATTGAATCAAGACATTCTAATCGATAGCTGCCGAACAAGAACAAGCTCCACCCAACTTGACATTCTAGTCGACAGTCACCGAGCGACAAGAACAAGCTCCAGCCAACTTGACTTACGACTATATCTAACTTCTTTCGAGATCTTAAACTTCTTTTCTGAGTTTTATTTATAGCAACTTTAGAAGGAGCGTATAAATCAGCATTTGTTGAAGTTCGTTTTCACTTTTTGACCACTTTTTGACAAGTGAAATATCGTTCGACAAAACTCCATATATCCTTTCTAAATCGTAGAAGACAAAAAGGAACGATTAGAGACCACCAAAATGGCTTCATAAACCATTAGAATGCAAGTATTTAGTAAGAGCTTCTTGCAAACATGTATCATTAGAGGGTATGTCATTAGAGCCTTAAATCCTTGAAATCCAAAGATGAGACCTTATAGACAACTATCTTTATCATGAACCATTAGACACTTTTGAACCCCGCTCTTTTGTCTGTCATCTATCAACAGCTATCGGTCGCATCTGGTCAATCAGTACACACGATATCTGTCTATAAATAAATCAAGATCTTTTTCATTATTAGTACGTAATATTTATCAGAAAGAAATTGAAAGACTATATCAGGACTAGCTCGACTCCACCCCTACCAGGATCTGAGCCCTTGAGTTGGAGGGGGGGTGAGCGTTAATTCAATTTCACACTAATCAATCAAAAAGTGTCCTAACAATAATGAGACGGTATAAAAATTATACAACAAGAAATAAGCAGAAATAAGTGCATAACGGTCTTAGAACATAAGAACATAGGGGAAGGGAGCTTATAGTGCATTATAATAATATCCACAACTCAAATTTGTAGCTAAATAAACAGATATGTTGTCTAATACATCATGGTTCATAGAGTAATCCAAAGTAGGGGCTTCAGCAAAATTAATAATAGCCATGAGTTATTCATCTCATTTACAGTCCTTGCGGCATCACAGAACCCATAGACCTCGTAAGAACACAATATCAGACCATCACCGTTCACACAAGTTCAGAAAACCAACATCAATCGACATCAATTCGTGCGAGTCGGGTAGATGATGCTTTAAGAAATGTACCCATACTCAAAACTAGCTTTACTCCAAAGCAACTGCCATGTTTGGAACATCTTTACTCGTCATACCGACTCCGTTTCTAAGCTGCATTGTAAAAAAAACGAACTTGGATTTTCTATTACTCACTCACTCCTGCTTCGAAAGAAATTATTCGGAGAGATCAAAAACCTGTATGGAGAAACTGGAAATGATCTTTTTCTCCGGTGTCCGTTTGGAGGTTGCTACTGCTGCGGTTTACGAAGTCCCGGTATCTGCAATATGAAGTTTACGTCATGAGGTTGGCCGATTCTACGTAACAAAGAAAACACCATGTACAGATGAAGCCTCTACTTTTTTCTTCCATTTACCCTAGATTAGAATTTGATACTAACCTCGACCCCATGTGGACCTATGCGGTTCCGGGAAATAAAATTTAGTATCAGATTCGAAAAATCATCCGGCACGTCTTCCTGCACGGTTCAAATACTAATTATATCTCACAGAACATGGTAGCAAGATGGAAGAAGAAATTTGTCAATGTGAAACAAAGAAAAACCTGAATAGCATGGCCAGTATGTCTGACTACCACCATCTGAAACTTCCCTTGCATTTGACCAATCGTAAGTGTTCTGTCATAAAACATGGTACAGTTCTTTAGAACATCTACTTCAAAATTTTAGGTACTTTACTCTTTCAATAAGAATGTATTTCACGAAAAGAAACGAGTAAAATAAGCCATCCGTTTTTTTATATCCACGAGTGTTTGGACCAACTTAGAGACATCTTGAATATTCTCACAGGATAGCCATGTGACCCTACTACATTTGATTGCTAAGATAACTCGTAGGATATTATATCCTACGTAAAGTCGACAAAAAGAAGCAACCCGATAATAAAGGGACTTCAATCAAGCAAAATAAAACGTAATGAATAAGTTCAGAAGGATCTCATCACTAACGCCTAAAGAGAAACATGGAATCTCACAAGGGATCAAACATCAAAAGGCTCCCTATCAACCCCTTCAAAAATTCTAATGTTTCTATTTACATGGCCCTTTTTAACCATTAGGTTGACCCATGGTGGCTGAATAATCACATTTTTATTAATATAAATATTTGGAGAATGAAGGTGAAGTATAAAGATCTCCAAGAACCACCACAGGAATTCAGCACAAGCAACGTACATTTATTGACACATGTTCATACACACAATATTCATTTTGGATCATGATCTCTTCTACTATTAAAATACATTATTGCAGAGAATTTTCCTATTAAAAGACATTATGCAACTGGTCATGAATGAAATTATTGATCAAGGGGTAGCTTCAAGCATGCAAACTTCCTGTGTCTGCTTCATCCTCACCCTGCTCATTCTCCCTTTGTATATGTTAACTTAGATATGCCTCATCATCCATATTTGGATCTAAAAAGCTTTCTATTTTGTTGAATTGTTGATAGTGAAACCTGTTTTCTCTTGCTCGAGTCAAGGTGAGTTAGTCCTTGCTCATTTTTGTAAATATCTTGAGTCTCTCCAAAGACATTTGAACTCTTCATTCGACACCTAACTCTCCGAAACAAAAGATTGCCAAAACAGAAATCACTTGCTCTCTCAACTCAAAATTGTGCTCCATTTGTAAGAAAGCTTAGGACCAAAGCATATTATCACCTCTTTCCCCCCTTTTGTGATGATAAAATAGTCAAAGTTTTGAGGAACCTGAATCCTTTCCTTGATATACTGAGGATTTGGTGGTCAAGGTTTTTCAGGACAGATTAAAAAACAAAGAAAGAATATTCCAAGATGGAAAAGAATAGGAAAAGAGTCAAACCAAAATATACAAGTACAATACATGATGGCTGATTACTAAAATAGACAAAAGCTTTATAGGGCGTTTTTAATAACCTGTCCAATCTGTCAGTCCCTGCTAAAAGCAAAAGCTTTGGAACAGGACATGAAAGAAATTTTTCTGAAAGGCCCTCATACCTGCAAGATTATTAACCAATTTACTAAATATAACATATGAAGAGGATATAAAAACCAAAAGAAAGTCAAATAAATTTGACCAATAAGTTGCAAGTAATCAGAGAAAAATAATTAAAACAATAAGAATCTGAAATAGAAGTATCTTCAGCCATTATTAACTCGGTTTATGCATTCCCCATCCTTCCCACCTCCTAACTCCATACATGAACAAAAAGGATAACGCTCTCGGATTTTCATAGGACAAATTCTAGCTCACCAATATTCCAGATGATAGCAATCATTTTTATTGCGTTTTTATAAGATGATATTGATCATGAAATTAAATAAAGATTGCTGCAGGCTTTCGATCTAAGATATTTATTTACATGACAAAGATAAAGATCTGAATATCAAAATTGAAGTCTTAATTGCCTCACATTCCCCCTCTTAGCCTTATATAGTCTTACAAAAGGGTTGAATGAAGAAAAGAAAAGAGCCAACCAGAATAACCAACTAGACTATAAAATCCAGACAAATTATTCACAATCATCACAATATACTTGAAAGATAAACTACATGACATAAAGAACATTGATGTTTTTACCCCATTCTACTAACCATCATATGTGTGTCAGTGTGTGTGCGCACATGCGCATGTGCATTTTTTTATAGCGGCCATTTAACAATGACGTTCACAGCATGTTTCATGCACAAGTGAACTTAGAATAACAGGGATGAGACAATCATTATAAAAATAATCAATAGATATTAACATATCATTTTGAAACAATAGGACTCAAGTTCCACCCAAACCTATTCTTAGTAAATTGAGTTATATACAAAACCTATTCTTAGTAAATGTAGCATGCACAATAGGACTCAAGTTCCACCCAAACCTAGCAAGCTCTTTTTCGATAACTGATAGCGATACCTCTTCTCCAGTTTGGTAAAATTGTTATAAGACAGGACTCGAGCATAACCAGATAGTTTTATGAAGAGTCCTGTCTACTTAAATAATATTTCGAAAAAATCTCGTATATGAGAATAGGAAGAGCATATATGCATCTTCTTGGGCAGCCAATTTAAAAATGCAATTATATATTGTTTTCCCCTCTTTCCTGAATACTCAAATTTGAATTCCAAGAGAAGACAAAAAGAAAGGGGAAAGAGGGAGGGTTGGTAACTGCAAATCATACACAACAACATAAGGACTGATTAAAATGTGGTTGCAGAACAAGTAATCACAGATTTTCATTTTCATACCAGCTTTTCCAATATTGTTCCGTTTGTTCCAGTTTTGCTCGGTAAGTATAGCTGCACCAGAAATTCAGATATTTCACGGATACAGGACTAAGAACTGAGCAGTTGATGAAATCGGCTAATCAAGAAGGAAAATATGAACAAGCTTTTAGCATACTACTGGATGAACAATATAGTTGACAAGTGACCAACCATTTCTTCGAATCATCATATGTAAGCGTAGAGGGAATTGATACACGGGCAGAGTCAACATTCCTCAAAGAACCTGCTTTTACACTCCATTCAATCTACAGATTCATGCAGTTTTTTTAAATTGGTTAATAGGGCCAAACTCTACTACAATAAGATAATGAAGAGAAGACATCATTTAATAGAAGAATATGGCAGATGAAAATGTGATATTTCGCCTATTGGTTCAAAGGCTCTGTCAGATGAGAAAGGTATTTATTTAACATGAAATCTCCTATTGGTGATATTAAACAATTTGTTGCATGACAAATTTAATAAATAATATCAGATAACTAATGTAGAGAAACAAATCCAGTAGATAAACGAAACCAGTACAGATCCAAAACCATAAAAATAGGGAGAAAAAACATTTATATCAATTTTTTCCTATAGGTGAGTATTAGCCTTTAATCCTTAACAACATTCACCAAGTAACAAGACACCAATTTCTAGAAACAAACGTCCAACTAGAGGCTAATGGTGAAGTACCACAATTAAAATTATGATGTATGCAATTAAAAGCCTAATATACATTATTTATTATTTCTCCTTATTCCTTGCACCTAATAAGGTTACTAAATCTGAGTCCCAAAATGCTCCACCCTCTTCTATGCTCTCCGTCCCTTCCTTTCTTCCCCTTGCTTCAACCGAATCCTTTACTTCAGTTTCTTCGTTAAGGACTCCTTCAGCCTTCCTCCGATTCTTTCTAATCATTTTCTTCTTCTAAGATAAGTATTTTTCCTTGGTTGGTTCATTTTTTCCTTGGTCTTTGGAGAAAGATGGAAGGATTTCATATTTTGAATGAAGGATGTGATAATAAACATGGAAGGTGTGAGGTTGGTAGAAAGTTTGGGAGGCTGGATTAAAATCAGAAATTTACCTTCTTTGTGGGAAAATGAAATTATTGAGTTTATTGGAAAGAAATGTGGAGGTTTTACTAGAATTTATTTAGATACCATTAACCTGCTGAATTGCTTTGAAACCTCCATTGAAGTGAGGAACAACCAATGTGGATTTTTGAGGTTGTGTTATGATGTGTTTTAGAAGGTTTTTTGTTGGCTGGTGATTAGTTTTTTGTTTTCTTTGGAAAATTTAAATCAACTAATCTTTGCTGGAGGCCTTATCCAATGTTTCATCATTCATTTGCAAGCTCTCGAAGTCTTTCGAACGAAGTTTCTGGAGAAGTTCTGGATTCTTTAAATATTTATTTACTTTCATGGCTAATTTCTATTTGGTTGTATTTGCTGCTTGTATCTTTTTTCTTTTTCATTCCCTTTGGAGTTTGTATCCCTGAACCTTTATTTCTTTTCATTATATCAATGAGAAGTTGTTTCTTGTTAAAGAAAACATAATTTATATTTGTCTATGAACACAATATACTCTAGAGGTAGATGGAAGTACATTTATGTTCTTAAAGCATTCTTTTATCAGCTTTCCTTTATCAATTAAATATACTTTTTGCTAATATAAAATTATGTCAAATAGACAACAACAACTCATCAACACTGGAACTATTGAGTTCATCTTTAATTTTTAGACATTTGATTGGTAAATTTGATACTTAAGATTTCTACCCATGAATTATTTCATTTAGTTCATTATTAAATTTTATACTTCAAATAGAACAAAGTCATTCCGTCAGACAGCAAAAAACTTGTAAAAGAAGACAAATGTCCCAAGGACTATAATAAAGCTAAAAATAAGCACCACCTTGGAGAAAAAAGAAACATCACTAAAAATATATGTATATTGTTGCAGGCCAAGGATAATAGTGTACCGCTTTCTCAATGCTAGGAAAATGTTGCATCCTGTTGGATAATATTTTTTGCATATGAATCAATGAAGCCATGGCAGTTCCCTAAATCCAAAAAGTTGCAGGAAGCTGAAAATTGCTTAAAAGATATGATTTATAACTCATTGTGATTCTGGAAATACGAACAACAGTAAACATACCTCCACAACGTCCACAACCACTAAACCAGCCAGGCTAGGTAATGCTCTCTTCGCAGCAACATGTACAGCAACTGAACCTCCCATACTATTTAAATCATTCCAATGAGCATGTAAATTTAATTAAAATTGGAGCAGAATTGGTACAACTTTAAACTATAAATAGAATTTAAAGATGATATCAAGTTTTTTTATTGTACAAAAGGAAAAGTAGATGTAATGTAGAGATGCGCCTTAGTCTATCCACCCAAATAGCACTCGTATAAACAAAGTGGGCAATCAAAAAAAGCAACTACCAAGTTGTTCAACAAATTAATTACATGAATTGATATCAGTACCATCATATTAAATGATCGATACAGAGTTCTGTACAATGTACAAAGAACTGTTAGTAAGCATCCCAAACTCTGAATTCTTCATGGAACCATTACGAAAGTACATGATCTAAGCAATAATAAGGATCACAACTGTGTCATGGATCCATGTGAGATGCCTAGCTGGAGATTGATTCTTAGCTTCAACTTTTTTTATTCTAGTTTTCATTCTAGACTATAAACACCCATGAAATATAAAACTGTGACATATTTTTTTGAGAAACCATGCTTTTATTGAGAAAAAGTGAAACAATACACAGAGAATACAAAAGAAAAAAAGGAACCCAAAAAAAGTCCAATTAACACAGGAAAGGACTCTAGTTGAGCAAATTAAGGTCTAAAGGAAAATCACAAAAAATCTAACACACAGAGAACGAAAGAAAAGCATGAAATCTAATAAGGGACACATAACCGATCTATTCTGTTTATTCATTTACCCTACAGCAATGTTGTGGAACTTTCTCTTTAAAGAATTTGATAGCTCTCTTCAACCTTCGGGAGATTGGGTTATGAAGCAACCAAAGAGTTTTATGAAAGAAATAGAGATTGGTAAATGATCAAGGTGCTAGATACATTCATTGCTTCATCCAGTGATCACTATCAGACTTGTTTTGTAACTACAGTCCTTTTGCAGCAATCAAAAATGGAACAGTTTCTAATAAGCTCATAATCTTTTGGGTCTTTCTGTACATTTTTCATTCTGGCCATAAAAAAATTTTGTTTCGCACTTTATACTTTTTCTAGGGACAACTAGCTAACTAACTAAAAGATACACTACCTGTGACCAACAAGCACAATTGCAGGAGGTGAATCTCCAAACATGGTCTTTATAACTGCCAAAACATCATTGCACATAGTCTGCAAATTTAATAAAAAACTTCATAAGTGGCAAACAAGTTCCCAGCACAGTAGAAAATTTACGAACTAAAGAAGGCTGAACAATCATTGAAATACCATATCAGTACCTCAACTGATAAGTCAAGATCATTCTCAGAAGATGATTTTCCATGTCCTCTGAAGTCCATTGCAACTACTCTAGCCTTTTCCTTTATTATACCAGCTGATAGAGCAAAAGAAAGCCTAGTGAAATAATTTTTGACAATTAGCCGGGTAAGAGAATTATATTACAAATTTAATGCAAATTATTGCCAGAAATGTGTAAACGAATACTGAAAACAAAAGGCAAAATAAAATAAATATTGACATAATTAACTGGTATGATATACGATGCATATTACCGGAAATATGGAAAAGAGATCTATCAAAACACAGAAGACTAGATTTGGAAAAATTAGTATACAACTTAGGGTACCCACTTGAAAGACATGACTGAAGCAAACATATGTCAAAAAACCAACCTAAGTTCTTTTAACTTCATTCAGAATGCTTCTCACCAAACAAAAACATTTAATGTAAACAATTTTTGTCATGGTCAAATTAGATGGTTGAAATCATTTTCAGACATACCCTACGAACTTGGGTCTTGAGTCTCGAGTTAAAACAATCAACATCATTTAACGGCCAAAACAAGATAAAAATGTAGATCTAACAATCCATGAAGTGAAGATGCTTTTTTTTTTTTTCTTAAATGGCGTCGTTACTTAATTTAGAAAATCTAGGAAATAAGCTGTGAATCATAATTCCAATATGTAATGTATAGTTCTTAGCTAACCATCTACTTCCAGAAGTGGCACTAGCAGTTAGATTAAGCCAAAGCTGTGGTGCTTACAAATATGGGTGTCCATGTACTTTAAGCCCAGACAATTTAAAACAAAGAAAAATTAGGAGTAAGAGAGAAATAATCACACACCCAGAATAGCCTCCTCCATGCAGACAAAATACAACTGGTCCTTCTTTTCCCGCTGTATAGACATGGAAGACCTGAAAGGATGATGCATATTAGGCAAGAAAAAGCAATTCCTTGAAAGTTAACTTCTTTCTTCACATGTATACTTGTATGCAAGTGTTCGTGTGTGTGTGTGTGTGTTTATGTTCATCTGAGTGTGTGCACTTCTCAATGAACAAATAAGAAGGCATCCAAAAGGCAAGCCCACAAAAAGAAGTCCCGCCAGAGAAAGGGACTCTAGTCAAGAACTCTGGAGTGAATTAATATTAACCTCGTTTGAGTTTGGAATGGAAATATCCTCCTCTTGGTCAAAATATCCAAGCCAATCTAGGGGCAAATACTTCTGTGAAGAATTCCTACAAGACAACATAGAATCAAAAACGAAATCCAAACACCATAATAAAAATATATATCACCTTTATACCAACCAGCCCAACATGAGCTTCATTCATTCAAATAAAATAGCATGAAAATGATTACATGACGTTATAAGTTGTCACGTATTGTCATAACTCTCATTTAGTTCATAACCGCAGCTGGTTCATATTCTCATTTATTCTAGTTATTAACTCTCATTTAGTTCATAACCATTTTGTTTCATATTCTCATTTATTTGGTTCATGTATGAGAATTAGTATTGCTATGTCTACATAAAATCAATTTTTTTTTTTTTTTTTTGTTATGAGTAACCGAAGGATAGAGAGAAAGAATCTTGTTCTCCACAAGAAAAGGTAAACATATCAAGATGAAAAAAGCTCTGTTCTTGTCGAACTTTTACACACATTAATAACTAAGATTTTGTATTGAAAGAAAGGAACGTGGTATAGGAAGTGAAGAAGAAACCCACTGACACTCATTGGTATAAGAACATTTCAGATTCCTTCCATCAAATTGATTTTAGAGATGTTTTTGGTGAAAAAAAAAACCTTCCGCTGTATTTCAGTCTGCAGTTTGTTTCCAATATATAACCAAAAACATGTTTCAACAAATCTGTCAAAAGATGCCCCATGCATTCACGCGGAATGATTCTAATCACAATATTCACTCTCCAGAAAGAACACAATTCCCGTCATGAAAACAAATAATTCTTTGGGCTTCAAAGGAGTTACAAGAATTCGAAATAAGGAGCTTCAATCAAGAAAATGAAGGCTTTTTATATTTTTTCTGTAATAAAAGATGTATCGATTCAGTTCTAAGCAATTCAGCAGAAATGAAAGGTTGGTTAGTACATGCAGACATTCTGAAAACATAGTGCGGCAACGAGGGAATGAGAAAAGGGAGGCAGTGGAAAATTTGAGATCTTACAGAGTCGGAGGGCGATTGGGCTTGGAGGCGAAGACCGATTTCTGATTCTCCTGTGGTCGTGCTTGATCTTCTGAAACATCTTCGGGAAGGGAACCGAGGTGAGAAGATGATGATTCCATTGATTGATTGATTGATTGATTGATTGATTGATTGATTGCTTGCTTGCTTCAAGATGAATCGATTGCTCGGTTTAACAAAATCCAAACGACAGGTAGGGAATGTATTCCAGATTGGTGAGCACAGAAATTAGAGGACGAAGGAGGAAGAAAAAGAGAAGTAAACATACCGGAGATTCGGCCGCCGTCGGATGCTTACAGTTGGGCCGTCCACCGGCCGGCTAAGCCCAGCCCACTGCGTGATAATGGTACATTGGGCTCCTCCGTGGGGATTTTGGAAGATTTTGTTCAATTAACGTTGAAAGGGTGTTTGGGGTGTGGTTTTAATTGTTTTTACTATGTTTATAAATTAGAAAATAGTTGAAGTATATATATATATATCAATGAAGGAATGTTCAATGGCGGGTGTCGATTTTGGAGGAAACCCGACACTAGAAACTAACCAGTGGTGGGTTTTGGAAGGGTGTTTGCAAATGATTTTAGTAGTTATGAGTTAAAATTGATAATAGCTCGTTCTCCATGAGTTGTAGTTTTAGATTATTCTTCTTTGAGAACTATATTATGAATGTGTCCCGTGCTTCTTTTAGTGTCTTGTCATCCCAAATTTGCTCTAACATCTCATCTTTGGTTGTAGTCTTCAAGACAAACGATTTAATAAGTTAGAGACAGAATTGATAACAACTCGTTCTCTAAAAGTTGTAGCCTCATATCGTTCTTCTTTTAGAACAATATCATAAACGTGTTCCATGCTTCTTTCGGTGTTTTGTCATCCCAAATGTGTTCTAACATCTCTTCTCCGATTGTGGGCTTCAAGACAAACATTGTTTTGCCTACTTTGATCCTCTACTCCCACCAACGACCTATCAAACGTCCTATCCTTATAAATAAGACATCATGCATGTTGCCATATGTTGTAGTTGTTTATTGAATTTCTTAATTTCTCCAACGATTTAATAATCACCCATCGTGTTGGCTATATTGCAGTAATACAAAACACTTTCATGACATAAAACCTGCTTTAGTAACGTAAACTCAATCACTTATACTCCCAAGTAGTGTCAAGTAGAAAGTGTAATATTCCACATATTCTAATATCATAGCAAAATCGATGCAAGTTGTCAATTCTTAGTATGTTGAACCATTTCATGGTTGCAGAGCGAGAATATGTCATTTCATGTTGCACGTAACGAATTAACACGTAATCTTATAATTACTCATTCAAAAGGGTCATTTTGATGTAATATTTAAAATTATGTAAACAAAATAGGTATATATATTAAACATTTGGATCATACAAATGAATAATTAAATATAACTTGAGGTAATTATGATACGTTTCCATATTTTTAAAGGATACGATACTAAAAATGGTAACCTTTAAAATTTTAGAGAAGCTTATTAGGTCGAAGGTGGTCGAAATGTTTATTCGATCGTGTGACTCACAAAAACATCTTATTCAAATAATGAATTTGCATCAACAATTTTTTTCAATGATCGACTCGATATCTTTGTTACCATCATAGAATACAAGGTTATGCTTCAAGATGTTCATCAAAATCTACTTGAATTGAAAATTTATCAGGTCACAATCCCTATACCCTTTTTTTGAAGCTCTTGGACATCTTAAATTAGACTTGAAGAACTCATGAACATTAGAATTACAAAGCCTAGCAATGGATCAAATGAACTAAAATAATTCATAATGCATAAAAATATTTAGAAATAAACAGAGTCCTTAACATGATCCAAGTATCAATTCATGAAAACTGTGACAACTTAAAAAACCAAATAGGTTATAATCAAGTCGCCATAACCAAAAAACAAACAAGTTCTCTAATTCAAAAATATTTTAAGTAAAACTTCTAAAAGGAGGTAACATTCTCTTTCAAATTTAGTGATAGATAAGGTTTAGATTGAGGCTGATCTTAGAGTACCTGAGATCTTCAGCTGATCTTTATCATCTCGGACAATCATTTTTTTACGTAATAACTCAATCCTCGTCTTCTTCATCACCGTCGCCTCCAGCAGCCTTCTTCGCAGCTGCCTTCTGGTTCTTTCGCTTCACCCTTCCAGGACGGCCACCTCCAAACGGACTCGTGAGTGAGAAGTCTATGTGCTTCTGCGAATCGACCCGTACCATGAAAGAAGGGATGTTGACCACCTGCCTTCCAACCCTAAGGAGAAAATATGACAGATGAAATTATTAATGTCCAGTACTTTACATCCACCATACATATATCAATGTATAAGAACTTAATTAAATAAAAATAAACGACATTGAAGTTCGACTCTACACTTCTAAAGTCTTTAAAATTCTTTTAGATCATCATCACTAGAGCTAAAAGTGATCCACAAATATGTAGCAAAAAACCCTTTTTCTAGTGAGGATTTGAACTTCCAAAATTCAAGAAAAAAATATGAAGTTAGGAAGTTTGGCTCTTTCCCAAAGCATTTTATGTGTCATTTTATGTGTTATATCTAAACGAAAGCAGCATAACAACATTCAATTCTAAGAAAATAAATATGATGATATCTGTAACAGTTAATCATCAAGCACTAAGAATTTTACAAAACAACGAAAGGTAATCAAAATAGCTAATTGAACAATAAAGAATGTATGGGTATGGAAAAGGTTAATGAAGGCATACTACCTTATATGCTTCTGCCTGATGAGCACTCTAGCATGATGGATAGACTTTGCCATACCAGACTTGAACACGAGAGTTTGGAGACGACGTTCAAGGAAATTCTCCACAGTAAGGGCCAAGACATAATCGAGCTTGTTCTGACTCTCATCCAAAAGACCATACCTGTTCATCCTCCTAAGAAGAGCCTCTCCCTCAAAAATCCTACGGGGGTTCTTTTCATCAAGTGTTAAGAGCATACGAGCATTGTTTCGGATTCGGCTCAATGCATATTGAACCCTCCACAACTCCCTCTTACAACGAAGCCCATATTCTCCAACCAATTTCAACTCAGCATCCAGACGCTCCTTCTCGTAAGGACGTCGGGGTTTCTTGAATGTCTTCCCATCTACATATTGATAAAACCCACACATTAATATCTTATCTCTAAGTAAAAACCCCAAGAAGAAGCATCGTTTATTTTTTTTGAAGTTTTGCGTAAGACGAACAACTATGCCACTTCTGAATCTCCATATGATGCAGTGAACAAAATTTCAAAAATGTCACCGATTCAACAAGAAGTAATACTTACATCAGCAGCTCAAAAGCAGCTGTAAAAATCATTTAAAATGATTTAAATCCTTCAAAATTTCCAGCTATACCAATCAACAAAGTAGCAAAACATGTGCGAAACACAATCAAATTACGAACAAGAAAGCACTAGAGAAACGGATTTGGAAAATTGAGAATGAAAACAAAATCATTCAAGGAAAAGTAAGAGACTTATGCTTACAGTTCCTATAGAAGGAGACGTGCACCATGATCTCTTCTCTGCAACGGCTTCACTTACAGAATGATCTTGAATGCCACAGAGAGGGAAGAGAAGTAGCTGAAGAAGGAAAAGAGAGTAAGCGCAGCGGCTAGGGTTTTAGCCATATAGTCCCGTTTTGTATTAAATAAACTGGAGCTGGGCCGAAGGTGGGATGGGCTGGGCCGTAGATGGGATGGGCTGGGCCGTAAGTGGGATGGGCTGGGCCGATGGAGCAATAAGAATTGGGCCTGAGATTACTACGTAATAGGCCCTTTTGTAGAACCTATTTTCGAAAATATAAAATTGTAACCCATAGCTACAATTAAATAACTACACGTAAACTAACCGTAATAAAATTAAAATAAATAATAAATAATAAATAATAAAGAATAATAAAATATACTTAAAATATTGGTTCAAGGATGTTTGTGGGTCCAACTATAATTTTTTTTTTATTTTATTTTGAAAAAAAAAGTAAAACATTAATTCATAATATTTATTTATTTATTTATTTTTAAATATTTAATTAAGATTTTTAACTCAATTTTAATATAATTTTTTTAAAAATATATATTTTTTAAGAGTTATTAGAGAATAAATATCTTAAAAAATAAGTGTAAAATAATATATATTTTAAAATTAGCAATAAATTTGAAATTGGATTCAATTCAATTTAGTTGGAGGGAATGTATGAACGAGATTAATAAATTTTTCATTTATTTGAATTCAGCTCAATTTAAATAATTTTAAAAATATATATTTTTAAGAGTTGGTAGAGAATAAATATCTAAAAAATAAATGTGTGTGCGTGTGTGTGCTCGCATGTGTGTGGTACAAGATATTAGCTTATGATCAAGGGTCAAATATAATACATACGTTAAGCTGTAATGGAAGGCTAAATATTCTCAGCACTTCCCTGCAAGCTGAGCGTCGAATTTGATCGAATGTGAACCTTGGATCTGAAAAATTAAAAGAGAGTTTGAGAAACACTTTTGGTAATCTAGAGATGGGAAGGTATATATTGTGTGCGAAGTTTGCCAGCAACAACAAGTTCCCGAAGGAAATGATAAGCTAATTCAACATGCTTGGCTTGCTTGTGAGAAACGGGATTGGAGCTCAAAAAATAGCATTTTTGTTGTCACATAAAAGCAAGGGTTGTTGTGTAATGGAGACCTTGAGGTCATACAAAAGATGTGTAAGCCAAAGAATTTTAGCAGAAGTCTTGGCAAGAGCACGATACTCAGATTCATAACTGGAGCGTGAGACAGTAGATTGGTTCTTGGCACTCCAAGAAACAAGATTGTTACCAAGATAAATGGAATAGACAAATGTAGAACGACGAGTGTCGGGACAGCTAGCCCATTCAACAATCGAATAAGCCACTAGTGCACTAGGATAGTGGATGGATGAAAGGTAAGACCAAAGTGAAGTTTTCCCTTACTATAGTGAAGAAAGTGATCAATAGTAAGAGCATGCAAAAATTGACAAACATAATTGACAGCATGGAAAATATCAGAGTGTGTAATGATCAAGTACTGAAAGGCGTTAACAAGAGATTGATAGAGAGTAGGATCAGAAAAAGGAGAACACTATCAACAGTCAAGTCTTAAAAAACAACTATGCAGTGTGGACTGGTTTGCTATTGAGCAAATGAGTACGAGTAAGAATATCTCGAGGATATTTTAACTAACCAATAAAGAGACAATTAGGAGTGGGTGAAGCTTCAAGACCAAGGAAATAACTGAGAGACCCCAAACCCATTATAAACTCATAATGATGCGGGTAAAGCTATCAAGAAGAGATGAATTGTTGCCGGTAACAATAATGTCATCAACATAAAGAAGTAAATAAATAAAGTTA